GAGATCTTCAGACTCCACATTTACACAATGTCCTCATGGGTTTCTCTCTGCTTTCATATGCTTCAATAATATTCATGCTGTGAGCATAGTTCCAGATAGTGACCCTCTCACTGGTCTTTTTCATTTTCCTTATTTTTTTTTTTTTTGTTGCCTCTATAGCTTCGTGGCCAGGTTGCACTTTATGCTGCTTCTAGAAAACTTGCACATTGAGCTGGGTGGTCTTGTGACACACAGTGAGTGCAGCTGGGACTCCTGAAAATGTTTGGAATATGTGCATGTAGATATATGTAATTCATTCATATTTAGGGATGGGAACAAATACATGCAAGTGACACTGACTTTTGCACTTGTTAGTATGGTTGATTTCCTTACTTCTTACATAAGCGAGTGAAGAGGAAGCAGAGAATCATGTGTATAGAGAGGCTCCCTGGGAAAAATTACTCCATGGAAAGAAAACCCCAGCCCCTGTCAGGAAACCTGCCCATTTCCTCCATCAACATCTGCTCATGTCGTTTAAAGACAGAATTGTAGTGTGCATCCGCTGTTGTTCCATATCCCCTTCTATAGTGTGGTTTGTGTTTGGGCTCACACTGATATCCCCTCACTCTGTGATTCACACAGTGTTTTATACAGCCATTTCCTCAGTTCTCAGGCTGTTATTCTGCAGATACAGCATGTTCTTGTTGTCATCTCTGTAGCTGGTGAGTCGGCCCTTCACAGAGTCTGTGTAGCTTGTGCTACTTCCATCATTGCTAATATGTGAGACCCACTGCAGCCCCTTCCCAAAGCCTGGAAGACCAAGCTCATGGCATTACTACTGAAGGTGAATCCAGAGGCTGCACAGTAGAGTCTCAGGGAGCCCCCAGGCTTCACTAGATCTCTCCCAAACTCCACCAGCTGCCCCTCACACTGGACACCTGCAGGCCCAAGACATCCTGGTCAAGAATCTGTCACACTTCCACTATTTCTTTCACTACTATCCACTCACATACTCAATGTCTTTTTTTCTCTATGAATAACATGTGATGTAGGTACCCATTTCTCACCATTTTACAGGTGGATACATCCACACTGCAACAGAGAGGGGCTTTGTGAGTGTGCAAGAGCACACAGCAGGTGAGTGTGAGCCCATGTCTGGACCTGTGCTCCCCACCATGGGACTTTCCTGTTTGCCCAAATCACCTCCAGGTCAGAGTTGATCTTATGCAGTGAGGTCTGTAATGTTCCTGAGTTTCAAGATTCCTAAATAGAATAAAGGGTGGAAACCAACTCTTCCTGTCTCAGAATCTTGGAGACACTGACCATCCTAGGGAGAGACTCACAGAGATGATGCAGACACTGGGTTTTCAACAACCACAAGGAGCATTTATACATGATCTTTGTATACACACCCATGGAAGCCTCAATAAAAATAAAACGGTGGAATCATTAGCAAACAATAAAACTCACAACACCTGAGATCAGAATGGATGCTGCTATTTAGGGAAATTTCTTCATCCGTGAAATGAAGATCATTGTACTTCTAATCTCACAGTTATTGCTAAGATCGTACAGTTAAACTTATTCCAGTGACCTAGCACTTTCCAAATTTGGGTATTAACTTTCTGATGATTGATTCCAAGAAAGGAAGGCACTTCTGTGTTTTGACACATATCCTAAACCTCTGCACTATCTTCTGAGAGTGAAAGCAATGGTTCCCTTTCCATGCAGCTAAAATCTGATATTGTGCCTACACTTGTTCCCAATTACTTTTAGTGTCAGTCACTAATAAAATTTCCCTTCATCTGAAAATTCCCTTCAGAAGCAGGTATTGGGATACATGGATGGTGCTAGGTGTTGAAGAACAAGGGGCGAGCACATCGGAGATGGGTATCCTCAAGCTTAGGTGTGTTCCTTACCGAGGAATGGGAGGTGCAAGGGAATGCCAGCTGACACTTGTCCTTGCTTCCTGAGTACCCAGCAGCACCCTGGGAACCAACCAGGTCCAGGAGCACAGGACTACCACACAGAGGCAGGACATGGGGAGGCAATGTTCCTGGAAATGCTGCCCATGAGGTTTGGACACAGATGATCTAGGAAGAGCATCTGTGGTGTTAAGTCCTACTGATATGGCACTGCAATGAGAATCAGGACTATTTAATTTTTATATTATTCAAAGATTTTATTTTTATTTATTTATTTATTTATTTATTTATTTATGAGAGAAAAGAAGATACTTGAGGGTCCATTTTTGGCCTCTCTATTCTGTTCCACTGATCTATGTGTCTGTTTTTCCGCTAATACCATGATTTCTTGATGATCCCAGCTTTACATTGTGAGTCCCACCTTTTTTTTTTAATTTATTTTTTATTTTATTATTTTTTAAGCTTTATTTTTTTTCAGTGTTCCAAGATTCATTGTTTATGCATCACACCCAGTGTTTCATGCAATACATGCCCTTCTTAATACCCACCACCAGGCTCCCCTGTGATTTGGGGCCCTTTCTGTTCCATACAGATTATAGGGTTGTTTGATTTGGCTGTGTGAAACATGATGATGCTATTTTGATAGAGATTATTTTGAATATGTAGACTTCTCTGGGCAGTGTAGACATTTTAACACTGTTTATTCTTCCATTCCATGAGCATGGAATATTTCTCCATCTCCTTGTGTCTTCCTCAATTTCTTTCATAAAGGTTCTGTAGTTTCTAGAGTACAGATGTTTTACTTCTTTGGTTAGGTTTATTCCTAGGTGTCTTATGGTTTTAGTGCAATTGTGAATGGGATCAATTCCTTATCTCCTCTTTCTTAAATCACATTTTTAGTGTATAGAAATGCCGCTGGTCTCTGTGCATTGATTAAACACCCTGCCACGTTGGTCAACTTCTGTATAAAATTTAGCAATGTTGGGGTGGAGTCTTTTTGGTTTTCCACCGAAAGTATCATGTCATCTGCAATGAGAGAGAATTTTACTTCTTGTATGCCATCTTGAATTCCTTTTATTTCTTTATGTTGTCTGATTGTTGTGGCTATGACTTCTAGTACTATGATGAACAATAGTAGTAAATTTGTACATTCCTGTTGTGTTCCTGACCTTAAGGGAAAAGCTTTCTGTTTTTCTACATTAAGAATGATATTTCCTGTAGCTACTTGTGTAAGGGCCTATGTAGCCAGAGTGGCCCCACCTTGGTTGAACAGCCATTTTGTTGTTTATGCAGTAAAATTTAAACTGACCCTGCCCCCCCGGGGAACTTACTTAAAAGCAAGTCCGGGAAACCAGTTCCAGGTAACAAAGCCCAAATACAAGGGTGGGTTAGGTCAGGTGGAGACATCCAATCAGTGGAGTATGCATATTGTTTCCCTAGCTACCAAGGAGTGTGGGCCCCACCTTTTGGGCCCTTTTTTGGGCGCCATTTCTGACCAAGGTGATTGGCTAGTTCAAATAGCTACTATGGGGTGAATTTTAGTTCAAATGGCCACTTGTGTGTGACCTAGCATGACTGTGCAGCTTTCTCTGTGTGTTGCAATCTCATTGGCCACCTGTGTGTGGTCAGACCCAACAACATGGCCTTTGCTCTATAAAAGTTAGTCTGTATAAGGGGTGGCCCCGACTGATCTGTTGGATGGTTGGTTTAATTCTTGACGCTTGGCACGAAATAAAGCTTTGCTTGACCTTCGCTTTGTATCAGTCTCGCTCCTTTTACCATGGACCCATTATTGGGGGACCCAACAATTTGTAGATGGCTTTTATTCTGTTGAACTATGTTCTTTCTATCCCTATACTTTGAAGAGTTTTAATCAGGAAAGGATGCTGTATTTTGTCAAATGCTTTTCCTATTTAATTGAGAGGGTTAAAAGGTTCTTCTCTCTTGTTTTGTTAAAGTGATCTCTTATGTTGATTGATTTGCAAATATTGAGCTACCCTTATGCACCAGAAATAAACCCCACCTGGCCCTGGTGAATAATCCTTTTAATGTACTATTGGATGGAGTACTGGGTGTGGTGCATAAACAATAAATCTTGGAACATTGAAAAAAATAAAATTACATTAACATGTTAAAAAATAAAATTTGTGACTCCACCCCCATAAAACACCCAAGAAATAAATGGTGAATTAAAAAAAGAATGTACTGTTTTATCATCTTGGTTAGTACCTTTGTGAATATTTTGGCATTCATGTTCTGCATCCACTGGTCTGTAATTCTCCTTTTTGATGAGGCCATTGCCTAGTTTTGAGATCAATGTAATGCTGGCATCACAGGGAGTTCAGGAGTTTTCTTTCCATTTTTTGGAACAGCTTCAGTAGAATGGGTATGATTTCTTCCTTGAGTATTTGGCAGAATTCCACTGGAAGTCATCTGGCCCTGGACTCTTGTTTTTGATTGCTGCTTCAGTGTCCTCCTGGCTGAGTGTCTGTTCATATATTCTACTTCTTCCTGTTTCAGAATTGGTAGTTTATTAGTTTCCAAGAATGCATCCATTTCTTCCAGATTGCCTAATTTGTTGGCATATTGTGATTCATAATATGTTCTAACAACTGTCTGCATTTCATTGGTATTCATAGTGAACAAAACTAAGAGTAAACCCAGGGAATGGGAGGGGATATTTGAAATGACATTACAGATAAAGGGTTGGTATTGAAGATCTATAAAAAACTTTGCTGTGCAAAAGCTTTTGATCTTGATGAAGTCCCAAAAGTTCAACAACATATGGATGGGTCCTGTCATTTTTTCCAATCTGCAACCCTGTGCCGTTTTATGGGCACATTTAGGCCATTCACGTTAGAGTGATTATTGAGAGATACATCTTTATTGACATCATGTTACCTGTGAAGTCTTTGTTTCTATGGATTGTCTCCATAAATTTCTGTTCAATGATATTCTTGGTGATATGGGGTCAGGAGGGAGACAATCCATAAGAGACTTTTTTTTAATCATGTAATTTTAAAACAAATTTTATTTAATTTTTAAATTTCGGTGTTCCAGAATTCATTGTTTATGCACCACACCCAGTGCTTCATGCAGTGCATGCCCTCCTTAATACCCACCACCTGACTCACCCACCCTCTCCACCCCCTTTCCTCCAGAACCCTCAGTTTGTTTCTCAGAGTGCACAGACTCTAATGATTTGTCTCCCCACTACAATTTTCTGCAATTCACTTCTCCTCTCTACCTCCTGATGTTCTCCGTGTAATTCCTTATGCTCTATTCTAGGGAAACCATGTGATAATTGGGTCTCTCTGCTTGACTTACTTCACTCAGGATATCTCTTCCAGTCCCATCCATATTGATATAAAAGTTGGGTATTCATCCTTTCTGATGGAGGCATAATACTTCATAGTGTATATGGACCTCATCTTCCTTATCCATTCATCTGTTGAAGGACATCTTGGTTCTTTCCATAGTTTGGCGACTGTTGCCATTGGTGCCATAAGCATTGTGTTACAGATGGCCCCTGTTTTCACTACATCTGTATCTTTGGGTTAAATATCCAGTAGTGCAATTTCAGGGTTGTCGGGAAGCTCTATTTTTAATTTCTTAAGGAATCTCCACACTTTTTTCCAAAGTGGCTGCACCAACTTGCATTCCCACCAACAGTTTAAGAGGGTTCCCCTTTCTCCACGTCCTCTCCAACACATGTTGTTTACTGTTTGTTAATTTGGGCCATTCTAACTGGTGATGGTATCTCAATGTGGTTTTGATTTGAATCTCCCTAATGGCTAGTGATGATGAACATTATTTCAGGTGTCTGTTACCCATTTTTATGTCTTCATTGGAGAAGTATCTGTTCATGCTTTCTGCCCATTGTTTGATGTGATTATCTGTTTTGTGCGTTTTAAGTTTGAGGAATTCTTTATAGATCTTGGATATCAGCCCTTTTTCTGTACTGTCATTTGCAAATATCTTCTCCACTTTCCTGGGTTCCCTCTTTGTTTTGTTGACTGTTTCTTTTGCTGTGCAGAAGCTTTTCTCTTGATTATGTCCCAAAAGTTTACTTTTGCTTATTTTATTTGCTTTTGGAGACATACCTTTTTTAAAGATTTTTTTTAATTTATTTGACAGACAGAGATCACAAGCAAGTAGAGAGAGAGAGGAGGAAGTAGGCTCCCCACTGAGCAGAGAGCCCAATGCTGGCCTCAATCCCAAGACCTGGGGACCATGACCTGAACGAAAGGCAGAGGCCTTAACCCACTGAGCCACCCAGGCACCCCTGGAGACATTTCTTGAAAGAAATTGGTGTGGCTGATGTCAAAGAGGTTACTGTCTATGTTCTCCCCTAGAATTTTGGTAGATTCCCTCCTCATGTTGAGGCCTTTTATCCATTTTGAGTTTATCTTTGTGTATGGTGTAAGAGAATTGTTGCATTTTATTCTTCTACACATCGCTGTCCAATTTTCCCAGCACCATTTATTGAAGAGACTGTCTTTTTTCCTCTAGTTATTTTTTCCTGCTTTGCCGAAGATTATTTGACCACTGAGTTGCTGGTCCATATCTCGGCTCTCTACTCTGTTCCACTGGTATGCGTGTCTGTGTTTGTGCCAGTACCATGCTGCTTTTGTGACAACAGCTCTGTAGTAAAGCTTGAAATCAGGCAACGTGATGCCCCCAGCTTTGTTTTTATTTTTCAGCATTTCCTGAGCAGTTCAGGCTGTTTTCTGGTTCCATTCAAATTTTAGGATTGTTTGTCCTAGCACAGAATGATGAAAAACATTCCATGCCCATGGATTGGATGAATAAATATTGTTGAAATATCTATACTGGCCAGAACAATCTATACTTTCAGTGCCATCCTGACCAAAATACCACTGGCATTTTTCAAAACAAGGACTTTGGGTGACACACTAGATTAGACTGATTTCTTACTTTATGTTTTAAATTTTATTATTTAAATTCAGTTCAGTTAACACACAGTGCATTACTGGTTTCAGAGGTAGATTTAGTGATTCATCAGGTGCATATAACACCAAGTGCTCATTCCATCAAGTGTCCTCCTTAATATCCATCATCCAGTAACCACCCTCCCCCAAGCCACTCCTAGTTTAAAACAAAATTTTGTGTATAATTTCAGGATTTGGATTGGGGAGTGTTCATCCTAGAATTATAGCTTTATTTATTGATTTATTCTCACAACATTATCTGCTAAATTCCTTTTTAAATTATGTTCAGTTAGCCACCATATATACACCATTCGTTTTTGATTTAGTGTTCAACAATTCATTATTTGTGTGTAACTCCCACTGCTCCTCCAAGCATGTACCCTCCTTATCGCCCATCCCCACGTTACCCCATCCCCTTAACCTCACTCCTCCAATACCCTGTTTGTTCCCCAAAGAAACATATTGATTTTGATATCATTTATTTGGGGTTTTCCAGTTTTCCTTTTGACAAATCTAGGCAGAGTTTTCTCAATTTTATCATTTTTGTTTTTTCTTTTTTATTATTCAATAAATGAGACCTTGATTTTTGGTCTGTTCTGTTTTATCTATATCATCTATATCTATATCTATATCTATATCTATATATATATATATATAAAATTTATTATTGCTCTAATCCTCACTAATTCCTTCCTTCACCTGTGTTTAGGATTTAGTCATCGTACCTTCTCTAACTCCTTCAGGTGTAACGTTAGATTGTTTCTTTTCTGTCCATGTGCTCATGGCAGGAATGGTCACAATCCACAGATTTTTCTTGCTTATTGAGGTCTTCCAGTATGCTCTGTATTTCTGTCTTAGGACAATTTTTGCTGCAGAATAATTAGGGGAAAGTGAAAAAAGGTTTCATACTCCTGTGTATGTGTGTGTGTGTGTGTGTGTGTGTGTAATGTCCAGACAACACATCACACCTGAAATGGGTCCACTGCTTTCACATGTTGTCACTAACATTGATGCTGTGAGCATTGTTTAAGACAGTGACTCCCTAAAAAAGACCCTTTCCTCTTTTACTTTGGATTGTTGATGCCTTTGTGGCCTGATGTCCAGCATGCACTTTATGCTGCTTCTAGCAATTTTGCACGTTGAGTTGGGTGGACCTGTGATGCAGTGAGAGCAGCTGGGAGTTCTGTAAAGACTCACTTGATGAGCACCAGTTTATTTGTAATTCGTTGGTATTTACAGACAGCAATAAACAATGTGAGTGACTCTGTATTTTGTGTATTTTAGTATAATTGTTTTCCCACTAGAACAATTTTTCAAAGTCAGAGAGTGAAGAGGTAACCACAGAATCATGTGTACAGAGAAGGTCCATGAGGGAAAGTGTTCTCTGGAGAGAAATTGCCAGATTCTGACAGGAAACCTACCCATTAACACCATGTGCATCTGCTCCTGGGGCTTAAGGACAGAATTAGAGAGTAGTGTCCACTCCCTGGTGGTCCAGATCAACTCCTACAGTGAGGTTTGTGTCTGGGCAGTCCTGCAGTCCTGCAGTCCCCTCAATGTGTCTTTTGCACAGTAATACAGGGCCGTGTCCTCGGCTCTCAGGCTGTTCATCTGAAGATACAGCGTGTTCTTGCTGTTGTCTCTGGAGATGGTGAATCGGCCCTTCACAAAGTCTGTATAGTATGTGTAACTACTACTACTGCTAATACTTGTAACCCAATGCAGACACTTCCCTGGAGTCTGGCGGACCCAGTTCATCCAGTAGCACTGAAAGTGAATCCAGAGGCTGCACAGGAGAGTCTCAGGGACCCCCCAGGCTTCATCAGGTCTCCCTCAGATTCCACCAGCTGCACCTTACACTGGAAACCTGCAGACACAAGACATCCCTGTCAGGAAACTGTCACACATCTATGGTTTCTTTCACTCATATCCATTCACATCCTCAATGTCTCTTTCTCACCCTGAATTATCTTTTAAAAGAGCAACAAGGAAAACCCAGCCAAGTGCAAACTCCATGATGAGTTGTCTGTGTTCTGTCTTGATTACTGATTGGACCACCTGAAACTACTGGGCATGGGCTCCTCTCTCAGCTGCAGAGTCAGAGCTGGGCAGTTATAATCAGCAGAGGGAAGGCCCTATTTGCATCTTCTCTGAGTATATAACACATTTTCCAGGTAGCATCCTCAAGATGGCTGTGCCCTAGAGCAGTTGTGAGGGTCCTGGGGGAGTTTGTTCACCATGATATCTTTGAGGAACCACACTCTTTTATTTTGTGATTTTGCTAGAGAAACTGCTTAGCACCCATTATCTTCCTTTTTTTCACATAGGCACCCCATTATCGTGATGTAGGTGCCAATGTTACCACAATTTTAGAGGTGGATATGTAAACACTGTAACACAGATTGCTTGTGTGAATGTCCAGGCATGCACAGCAGGTGAAATTAAGCCACGGAGTGTGAGTTTGTGCTCCTCTCCATGGAACCTGTTTGCTCCCTTTAACCTTCTGCAGGATAGAGGTGGGTATGAGATTTGCAGGCTTTCTGAATGTCCAGTAGTCCCAATAGACTGATGTGTGGAGACAAATTCTTTCTGTTACAGAAACCTGGAACCAATGAAAAGTCTTGACAGAGACTAAAAGAGGTTCTGGACACAATGTGGGTTATCAACAAACACAAGGGGGCATTTCCACTCTGTATACATCAATAGAAATACTCAATAAAGATACAAGAATAGAATTATTAAACAATTAATTTCAGAACACCTGAGATCAGAAAGCATGCTGTTAGTTAAAGACAATTCTTCATCTCTGAAATGGAGATCATCTTACTTCTAAATTCACATTTATTGCCATGATCATATCAATTATATTTATCTCAATGCTTCACCCTTGGCAAGTTTGGTTATTACCATTTTTATGACTTATTAAAAAAATGGAATACTCTTCTGTATTTCCACAGATTTACAAACTGTTTACTCTGTTCTTGTCCAGGGGAGGTTAGCAAAGCATAGAGCTGGAAACCTTTGAGAGGAGACCATCCTCCCTCCACCTTTTGTCCTGGGTCTTGACCTCCATGCTTCTTGAGTCAGAGGGATTGTGAGCACACCCTGATGGTCTCAGTGCACCAGCAGGTGTCACAGACCCTTTCAGGGACTCCTCTTATCCCTTCCCCTTTTATCCAACATTCGAGGAGTTACCCTACCAGCGCGACCACCACTGATTTTCCTGTTGAAAGGATATCTCCTCGTAATTACTTGCTATAATTGAGATCCTCACTTTGTTCCCTTTCTACAATATCCAGATATATTTACTGTAATCAGAGGTGAGCAGGAATTCTGAATCAAGTCCCTACAATCAGGTGCCCTCAACTGCTGAGGCCTTTCCCTCCTGAGGGTACAAATTCATAGGTTCTCTTGTATGGTAAATGTCCCCTCTCCCAGTAAGGTGAAGGTCAACTGCTTGACCTGGGAGGACTAGTCCTAGAAACCAGTTCTCTATATTTTTCCAATTATATTTGATGTGAATCACTAATTAAATTGCCATTGGTCTGAGAATTCTCTTCAGCAGGTACTGGATTTTAGTAATTCTGTCAGGTATGAGGTGACATCTTTCCATGGTTTTGATTTGTGTTTCCCTGATGATGACTGATGTTGAACATCTTTTCATGTACCTGGTAACCATCTGGATATCTCCTTTGATAAGTGCCTATTTCTTTCTTCTTTCCATTTCTTTACTGCATTATTTGCGTGTTGAGTGTGGTAAAGTCTTTATAGGTTATGGATATTAAATTTATCAGATATGCCTTTTGCAAATATCTTCTCCCATTTATGACTCGTATGTGGAATTTATGAAGGAAAACTGATGAACGTAAGGGAAATGGGAAAAGAACAAAGAGGAGGGAGGGAAACAACTATAAGTGACTCCTAGCAATAGAGAACAAACTGTAGGTTGATGGAAGCAGATGAGTGAGGATTGAGGAGATGGATCATGAGCATGAAAAAAGGTACTTGTTGTGATGAACACTAGGTGTTGTATGTAAGTGATGAATCAGTGATTATACTGCAGAAACCAATAGTACACTGTGTTGTAAATAATAAAATTTAAATTAAATATAAAATAAGAAAAAAGCTGTTGGCCCTGGAAGGCATGTGTGGTGTCAGGCAGTGAGGACCAAGGAACAACACATTGTAAACATGCATCCTCAAGCTCGGGCTTGTTCCTTGCGGATGAATGGGAGGTGCAAGGAAAGGCCAGCTGACACCTGTCCATGCTTCATGAGTTCTTAGATGCACCGCTGTGAGCCATCCTGGCCCAGGAGTTCAGGACAACCATACTTGTGCAGCATGTGGGCTGCAAGGTGTTTGGACAGCTGCCAGTGAGGTGTGGGCACAGACGAGTTAGGGAATGCCAACCTATATGGCACCACACAGAGAGTCATGACTGTTTTAGTTAGTTAATGTCCACAACTGGTCAGGAATCAAATGGATAAATACAAAAAGTTGAGTGCCATTACTCTAGATCCCAATGGTTATGACCTTTAGGACATAATTTCTCTCTACCTAAATTAGAGAAAACGTAAAAATTATTCTGAAACTTTAGAACCATTCACTATATATATGAGCATAAATTTTCTCTGTTATTCGTTAAAAATGCCTGCCTTTAATTGTTTATTTTAGAAAAAAAAACACACCACATAATATGTAGAATCTTAAATATTTGAAATGCAATGGTGACAAGCATATCCACCACATGATTTCACACTGAAGCATCTCCAACAGAGTCTCATTTCTTCCACCACACCTGACATGTGGACCAGCCCTGCCATGATCAGGGCCTCAGGAATGGACCTTAGTCTTGCCCCTCATAGGATGTCATCTGCACCTTTCCAAGAGCTTCCTGGTGTTACTGGTTTAATTGAGTAGAGTTGAGAATTATAGAGTGTGTTAATGTTTACCAGTTGTGTTGTTCTTTTCTTCTCTCACATAGAAAGGACATAAAAAGAAGAACAATTATGCATAGGTTAAAATAAAGCAAATGAATAGTCAAGAAACAAAATTTAAAAATAGGCAAGTGACTCCCTAACCCTACAAGCTGTAAAACCTTAAAAATCTAAGGATTAGTTATGTTTCCCAGAATGAGTCACTTTATAGTAATAGGAGTTCAGGAATTTGGATCTTGGTAGTTTGTTAACCATTCAGTTTCACAGAAGTGATAATTAGTAAATCCCTGAATAATATCAGCTTTGTTTAATGGAAAAATCCTTCTGTGGTATGTTGTGAAGTTCAGGAGAATGAACACAATCACTGCTTGCAGGTACGTTTTAAATTTTTAATCTAAATTACAGTTATTTAACATTACAAATATTTAACATGACCCAAACCTACATAACCCACCTCCATCTGCCACCTCTCTGGTAACTGTCAGTCTGTTATCTGTGGTTAAGAGTGTGTTTCTTGTTTTGTCTCCTTCTTTCCCCCCTTTCCTCATTTATTTTGTTTCTTAAATTCAACATATGAGTGAAATTATATGGTATTTGTATTTCACTGACAAATACACTTACCATAAAACTCCCCATCTCCATCCAAGTCATTGAAAACGTCAAGATTTCATTCTTTTTTACGAGTGAGTAATGCTCCACTCTCTCTGCATATACCACCTCTTCTTTATCATTCAACAATGAGTGGACATGTGGGCTGTTTCCAAGGTTTGGCTATTGTAAATAATACTGCTTTTAATATAGGTGAGGTTCTCTGTGACCTAGTCTTTTTGTGCTCTTTGGGTAAATATCCAGTCGTGTGATCATAATTGTAGCTGGATCATAGTGTAGTTCTACTTTTAAGTATTTGGGGAATCTACACCCTGTTTTCCACAGAGGCTACACACTGCACACTACACATTTCCTCACCAGGGAATTCTGCAGGGCCTCAGTTCAAAGAAAGTTGTATCAGGTCTCATTTAACAAGCCCAGCAGAGCACACCTACTTAAATCTCCAATATTCTGGCTAAGGACCAAACACTGAACACTGCAGGCAAGGAGGATCTCTGTAGACATCTGGCCTGAAGGCAAGTTCTGCTGAAACAGAACAGCAGAGAACAAACAGTACACAGTACACACCAGTACACATCAGAGTCCTCTCTGAAGCACCAAGCCCTCAACATACCTCACTTTTGTAACACACAGAAGAAGGTAGAATCTTAGAGAAAATGACAAGATAGAAGGATTCAATTTCAGGTGCAATCTTGATCAACCTCAATTTAGGTTTTCTTAGACCAGGCCCTTTGATCCCACAGGGTGAGCAGAAGACTCGTGTTCTGTCTCCAGATCCAGTAGTTTCCATTCCTGAAAGGTTCCTGTGCATCAAGAACACTGCCATCTAGCCAAACCATTCACAATGCAGCAGTGTTCTGCACTGGGATACTGAATGCTATTGACAATATCCCTGTCATTCTCATCCTTTTGGACACTTCTGACTTCCTGCTCAAAGTTTCTGTCTCTTTGTTGGGAAATGCTTTCTTCTACTTGTGACTTGTTGGGTGAGATTATGTGCCTCGACCTCAGGTGGCAACAGTCACTTACTGCAAAATGATATACTAATTGAAAAATATTTAATGGGCTTTCCACATTAAAACAGCAGTTGGAGAGGAGACAAGACGGCGGGGAAGTAGGATGAGGCACCTTTTTACGTGAACCCTAAAGTGAGCTGATTACCTACCAAAGAACTCTGATAACCCATGAAATCAGCCTGAAATTAGAATTATACACTTCTGGATCTCTACAGGGGCAGGAGCTGCCAGTGGGCAGGTAAAGCAGAGTGGGAACATTGGAATGATACTGGACAATAAACAAAAGGGATGGGGAGCCACCAGAAGTGACCCATTGGAAAGTAATACCCCAATACGAGAGTGACCTGCGATTAGGGACCAGCATTAACTTGGAGTCTGGTTGAAAGTACTCAAAAAGAGCAAAAGATCATGTGGGGAAAAATTGGGAATAGGGCCGTTAGGGACAGGGTCTTAAATCAGCCAACCCAGGACAGCCACCGCTGATGCTGAGACTGAGAGAGTGCAGCGAAGAAGCCAGGGTTTGGTCCCTGAGTTGCCCGAGCGCATGAGAGCATCTGGGTGAAGGTGTCCGTGAAGTTGAGGGAGCCTTGGCAGCCAGCAGTACCACAGTCTTTTGCACTCTCCTTGGTGCCACATGACCAGAGTCTGAGTCATGCCCCACACCCTCCCCTGAGAGAGGTGTGTTCAGGCACCAGCTGGTGCTGTCTAGGACCCAGAGAGTCTGAGCACTCCCAGCCCAGCCCGCAGGAAAATCTCAATGTACTATCACTGCTTGGGACCTCTCTGGTGGTCTGGAGCTACACAGACAGCGGAGGCTACTATTTCTTGTGGTTTTGGGTACAAATGGGAGTTCCTGTGACCCCAGAGACTGTGACTGGGAAAATGCTCTGCCAGCAGCAAAGGGGGGGGGGGGACTTATGTGCCCTGGAGCACCCAGAGGGGAACAGACTGTGGCTTCTCTCTTAGAGGGAGATCTGGGTGCACTATGCTTTCCTCTAAATCTCCAAAAACCATCAAAAGCCACCAAGGGGAGAGAAAACAAACAAACAAACAAACAGACAAACTAACAAACCCACCAGAAAACAAAAGCCTGAAAAACCAGTTTCCTCAGAGACCACCCCCTTGATTGGGGCTGGAGGACTTAACTCTAGCAAGACTCCCTGAAAACCCATGCAGCAGGTCCCTCCCCCAGAAAGCCAAAAACAACAACAACAAAAAAAGACAAGAGGATAACCACCACTACTTCATAGATACAACTTTTATTTTTAATTCATTCCCACTATTCTGGTTCTTTTAATTTTTCTTAATATATAAATTTCTAACCAATTTACCATCATAGGGAGATGTCTAGTACATCAAATTCCATAATAACCTTTTAACCTGAAATTTTTGATACATATACTTTGTTTTTCTCTTGCTTTTCTATTTTTTAATTTTTTAACTTAATTTAATTTAATTTTAGTTTATTCTTTTTTAATATTCATATACAGTTATGACTCAAGGTAATCCCCTTTCCCAATCAATGCTATCCCTATAAGTAAACCAGTTTTTAATGCAGCTTTACCTTAGGAAAGTTGAGTCCTTTAACAAAGATACCAAAATACATCCAGGAAGAATCAAAATAACCTTCCTCACCCATACTGAGAATTAATAACCACTCTCCCAACTTTTTCTTCTGCCAGTGTTTCTGTGTATTTGTTTTTGTCCTGGTAATATATAAATCTTATACTCGGGGTTCTTTTTGATGAGGTTCTTTTTGTTTTGTTTTGTTTTTATTTATTTATTTTTCTCTTGTCATCTACTTTCATCAGTCTTTTTGTTTGTCTGTTTTTGTTTGTATACTTCATAAATCTTAACTTGGGGCCTATTGGGGCTGGGTCTTCTCTTTTATTTTATCTTTCTTTTTTTCTTGTATCTCTCTCTCTCTCTTTTTTTCCTTTTTTCTTTCTTTTGGGTGGCGACCCTTGATTGCTCAGAAGCATTCCAGGGTGCACCTTGCCTGCACCAGGGTTGATACATTCAGCTACACATCCATTCATCCATCTCTCACCAAAATGACTAGAAGGAGGAATGCCCAAAAGAAGAAAAATTCAGAGACTGGACCTTCTGCATCAGAGCTATTGGATATGGACATAGACAGTATGTCGGAGAGGGAATTCAGGCTAAGAATTACCCAGGCAATAGCTAGGTTGGAGAAAGCCTTGAATGACAAAATGGAATTGATTAGGGCAGAAATGAGAGCCACCAGGGATGATGTTCACAATGCTCTCAATGAGTTCCAATCTAATATAAATTCTCTAAAAGCTGGGGTAACTGAGACAGAAGGTAGAATTAGTGAGCTGGAGGACAAACAGATAGAGAAAATGATCAGGAGGAAGCCTGGAACAAATAGCTTAGAAACCATGAAAACAGAATTAGGGAAGTAAATGATGACATGAGCACTCCATCATCAGCATTATTGGAATCCCTGAGGGAGAGAAGAAAGTAAGAAGACTAGAAGATATAGTGGAACAAATTCTCAATGAAAATTTTCCCAATCTCATGAATGGAACCAGCATTTGTGTACTAGAGGCAGAAAGGTCTCTCTCCAAGATCATAGAACATAGAAAGACCTCAAGACACCTGGTAGTGAAAATGATGAATCATAATTGTAGACAGGAGCTCTTGAAAGCAGCTAGGAAAAAGAAATTCCTTACATACAGAGGAAAGCCCATCAGAATAATGTCAGACCTGTCCACAGAAACCTAGCAAACCAGAAAGGGCTGGCAAGATATATTCAGGGCACTAAATGAGAAGAACATGCAGCCAAGAATACTTTATCCAGCAAGACTGACATTCAAAATGGATGGAGAGATAAAGAGCTTCCAAGACCAGCAAGGCTTAAATGAGTATGCAATCACCAAGCTGACACTGCAGGAAATATTAAGGGGGGGGGTTCTATAAAAGAGGAAAAAATCCTAAGAATATCATTGAACAGAAATATATGGAGACAATCTACAGAAAGAAATATTTCAAAGATAACACGATGTCAATAAAAAGTATCTCTCAATAATCACTGTCAACGTGAATGGTCTAAATGCACCCATAAAACTAAAGAGGGTTGCCGATTGGATAAAACGACAGGACCCATCCATATGTTGTCTACGGGAGACTGATTTTGAACCTAAGGATACATCCAGACTGAAAGTGAAGGGATGGAGTAGCCTCTTTCATGTCAATGGACCTCAAAAGAAGGCCGGGGTAGCAATTCTCATATCAGATAAATTAGATTTTTAACTAAAGACTGTAGTCAGAGATACAGAAGGAAACTACATCATTCTTAAAGGGTATATCCACCAAGAATATCTAACAATTGTAAATATTTATGCTCACCCCCATATGGGAGGAGCCAAATACATAAGATAACTCTTAATCAAATTAACTAGTCATACTGATATGAATACATTAATCGTAGGAGATCTTAACACACCACTCTCAGTAATAGGCAGATCATCCAAGCACAAAATCAATAAAGAAACAAGAGCATTAAAAGACACAATGGACCATGTCGACCTCATTGATATATACAGAACATGCCACCCTAAACAACAGAATACTCATTCTTCTCGAGAGTACATGGAACTTTCTCCAGAATAGACCACATACTGGGTCACAAAACTAGACTCAACCAATATCAAAAGACTGAGATTATTCCCTGTATATCCTCAGACCACAATGCCTCGAAACTGGAACTCAACCACAAGAGAATCTTTGGAAGGAATTCACACACTTGCAACCTAAAGACCACCTTGCTTAAAAAATGCTTGCATCAACCATAAAGTCAAGGAACTTAAACAATTCATGGAAACCAATGAGAATGAAGACATTTAGATCCAAAACCTATGGGATACAGCCAAGGCGGTCCTAAGGGGAAGTACATAGTCATTCAAACCTCACTCAAAAAAAAAAAATGAAAAATCCAGAACACCAGCTGTCTCTACACTTTGAAGAACTGGAAAATCAACAACAAATTTAAGCCAACACCACACACAAGAAGGGAAATAGTCAAAATTAGAGCAGATATCAATGATATAGAAACTAAAGATACAGTAGAATATATCAATGATACTAGAAGCTGTTTTTTTGAAAGAACCAATAAGATCAATAAACCACTGGCCAATCTAATCCAGAAGAAAAGAGAGAGGACCCAAATGAGTAA